AGCCTACTTCATAGATCCTGCTATACAACTTGCTCACAAACCTACTGCCACTCTGCACAGCCTTCCAACAATGAAACATTGCTATGGCCACCCAACCAAACAAATTATATCCTTATACACACATAAAAATAAATATAATATTTCAAGCCTCTGACGGTATATTAGTAACCTTTGCAAGAAGCCAACATTTATGATGTCAAATCAACATTCTTTAAGAGTTATAAAAGAACAATGGTTTTGGAAAGAAAAACTGATATTTGTTGTCAGAAACAACCATATTAGATACTTTTATTTTCATCTGGTAAATCCCCTGGCTCACATATGACATTAAACTTTCTCAAAAAGGATCCCCATGAAATATACCACATCTGTATAGTATGGGATTTAAAATGAAATAATTTTTCTGTCCAAACGGAATTTTAAAATCTATCTATTTGTTGTATTAGTGTTCAAAATGATGTTCTCCTAACTTTTTCATCAACTCAGATTTGAAACACAACTATATCTGTGTATATGTTTTAAATAACTTGTCATGGGAGTTAGCAGAGCTGTTTTCTTCAAATCCTGTTTATACCCAGGATTATAAAAACCGGAAAATAATAACATGGAGATAGGTTAATAATTAAGAAACAGAGAACTGTTGAAATCTGCTGGCAGCTGATAAGGTATAAAAAACAAGAGGTATTTCCCCACTGGGAAATAATTTTGAAAACTGGCTTTTTCGCAAGAACACCAGGTGTCGAAGCATAGTTAAGACATTCTTGACTAGGAGAAAGAGCAGTCTGTAGACTATTAAGTGTACAGCCAACTCAGGCAAAATCCTGTCTGCTCCAAATATTGTCAGCTCCTGACAGTTCAGGAGGTAATGGTATACCATAAGAGTGTGTCACTGTTTTTGTCACGGAAAACTCTGCCAGATTGCAAGCTATACATTTAGAAATAGAACAAAATATAGGACAAAACAATACTGAAACTAATGTAAGGGGTTGGTTTAGTCATTTTACACTGGCTTGTGTTTACTGCAAACAGTTAAGTAAATTCAGATGAACTGAAATAGTAATTCCAGTTTTGTTGAGAAAAAAATAAATCCTCTCTGGGCGATCTGTGTACATTACAAGGATTATAACAAACTTTGTGGCAGTTTCCTACCCGTTTCTGTTCTGAACAAAAAGCTGTTTGTTGCAGCATGTCCTTTCCAAACTGGTTCCTGAATGGGAGGGTCTGGGTTCATTATATAACCAGCTGGTGGACTTCCTGTGTTGTAATGAGCAGTGCAGTGTTTGCATCCCTTTTAGTAGTAATGACCCCTTAGGGAGTATCTCACCAAAAATGTAATTCCTGTTGCAAGGGATGCCAAACATTATACTTGTTTCTTAGTGCAGACTTCCGGTAAAATAAGTCAGCCAATCACAGAAGCAAGAATTGACATTTCTGGGGGTGCTCCGTACACCAACTGCATACCAACTGAACAGAACGCCTCTAAGTCACCATATTGCATTAAATATTTGACAAATTTAGAACTTTACAACTGCTGCAGTTTTAAATGGAAAGGTATTTTTTAAATAACATTAAATTACAAAATGACATTTGAAACAATTTTATATGCTATATACATTTTTTAAAAGATCTTTTCATTTTTATATTTTTAAAGTGAAGTTTCCTTTTAAACATTAGAAACTAGACATTACAAGGTAATGTAAAATAAGTATAGTTAACAAGTCCCAAATGCTGAGTTGGTAACCAGTTAGGTTAAGATTGTACAGGTGTTGAAAAAAAAAGCTTTTTAATATGCTTGTGAAATGTCTTAGAACACATTTTGGATGCATTTTGTTTAAAGGAAAGATATTTAGTTTAAGCACTGCGATGCAAATACGTTGGATTTTTGCGTGTGTACTAGACCATTCTCTTTTATGTTACATAACAGGTCTTAGATCTGAAAAAGCATTGAGAAAGTTGCAAATGTCTGTACACCCGTGTGAACGAAGCTTTAGTGAAGCAAGGTTTAGGATGAAAACCTGGAGCATGCACCTTCAAAAACAAGTTAGTAATAAGAGCTCTCAAATTTTGTATCCCTTTCTACACCTTTAGGAAAACAACATTTAAAAATGTGTATAGTGTGCCATGGAGAGTTTTTTCTTAGGAAGAAATTATATGCCAGGAACATAGTGTGAATATAACAGGACATTGTTGAGAGCCTGGAGAACATAGCACTATTCATTTATTTAGTTATATAATAATGTTTTTCAGATTGCTCTCAATGGTTAGGTAAAAAGAGATAGCTGCCCACTGAATGCTTGCAAAAATATGATCTCATGTGCTGTAAGTAAAACAAAGACTGACATTCCTTCTATGGGAAGTGAACAACATTATCAAATGGTCTGAAATAGTAGCCTGTGGCCACAATTCCTGTAAAATATTCAAATACTTTCCCTGGAAGGTATGTTAAAATGCAGTTAAATGGTTATTTCACAGACAGAAAAAACATGTGCCATGCAATTTAAATGGCAGTAGCAACAACAATAGTAGATAACCTTTTAAAAGAAACCAATAAATTCCTTCAAAGACAGCAAATGGACGAACTCAGCATATCTATCTATCTATCTATCTATCTATCTATCTATCTATCTATCTATCTATCTATTGAGTGGTTATTACTTGTGTTATTTTTATTTTATCTTTATTAATGAAAATTATTCTCAATACATCTTTAGATTTTAAATTGGCATAAGAATGATGTAGATGCAACATGTGTAAAATAATCTGCTATAAAGTTACACTAGAGAATTTCCAATAAATGGGTCAAAATATATTCATAAGACAACATACAATATATTTTATGTAGGCACAAATCTTTTCAGGAAATTACTAAATATTATTGAATCTTAATATTAAAATTGTTAAAATATAATATTAGCTGATTGCATACTTAAACATATTTAAAAATAAAATATTTAAGAATTTCCTTTAAAAATGCAGTATGCACCATAAACAGGACCATTTCCAGACAGGAGAGGGGCAAAGGGGGCTAGCCATTCCTTATCTTTTAAATGCTGGTTTCTTCCCTACTTCGAGAGAGTCTACACTGACATATACTGTAAGCCTTCTTGCTGCTTATTACAGAGTTCAGTTAGAGGATCAGCAAACAGACCCTTGCCTTTGCATCACATCCTGTGAATGTTGCTTTCCCTTGGTTTCTCTCTGAAAGTTGCAAATTGCAACTTTCATGTAATCTTGTATAAGCAGTGCAAGAAGAGAAAACCAGGTACACAAATCATTAGTGCGATAAGAACCCCTATAGTTCACTTTGGACAACTTAGGCTTTCAGCCTAGGAACCATATAGGGACCACCAACAAGCATAGGCAGTGCAGAGTAGTGGTTTTACAATACAGTTTTTAATGGAAACAGGAAACCAACCGATAGAGAATTCTCCCACTTCAGAAAGGTTGGCTTTTTTATGTTGTAAGATATGATTAGTGGCACACAGGAATATTAATATTTGAACTTGTTCACACAATGGGTTAAAAAGAGTCAAGTGCTAATCTCACGATGTGATACTAAGCTGTTTAGAATACACTGCAGACACCCAGATGTGTCTATCCATGCAATTTAATATCTAAGTGAGTCTCCTGGGCACCTTTAACAATAATGTTCATTAACACTCTTCAATACTTCCCAGTTTAATCCCGGGCTAGCCTTCCCCTCCAATATTTCCCCATCACTGTGATGGTCAGCCTCAAAAAGCACAAGGGAGGTGTGGGAGTCAAGAGTGAGCAGATCATTTGAGGAATAAATTAAGAGCAATTAGGAAATTTGCCTTTTAAAACACCACATAGTTCAGGACATCTGGGATGCTAATCAGAAGCTAAAATTGTATTATTATAGCCAGTTTGGACGCCTTCATCCCTATAAGATCATAGTGCAGAAGTATTCACCCAATAAAAAGGGCAGCACAGTATTAAGAGCTAACATTTATTTTTTAAGATTCCCTATCCAGAGCATTTTTGGATATATCTGATAAAGAGGAATCGCAGTCATGAAACTGTAAGGAAGTTGTCACAATACAGTTAATACGTTGTGAGTGTTCTGCTGAGTTCCTTCTAAGTTAACTTTATAAACTACTGCAATAAATTGGTCTGTGGATTCACATAATTAATTTCAAGCTTATTCTAAAGGTGCCCATACACTGCTCGATTCTCGTACGAGAATCGCGGTCGTACGAGAATTCGAGCAGTGTGAACGGAGACGTGCGACCGTTTCTACTGTACGGTCGCACGTCTTTTGTCTAAGGAGCACGCTAGGAAACAAGCCGAAAATTGTATGATTTTCGGCTGGTTTGAACGGTGCTCGGGAGACAAATGCCGAACGGGTCGGTGTGCGCACGCGCACACTGCCCGTTCAGCATTGCGGTCATCGGAAGCCCGCCCCTCAGGGGGGCATGCTTGCGATGATCGAGAGTACGATCTGCCTGTCCAAGATGGGCAGATCGTACGGTTTTTTAATCACTTTACAACCATCGCAAGACTAAGGTCTTGCGATGGTTGTACAGTGTATGGCCACCTTAAGAGAGATATTTTGAGGTTCAATCAGTATCATTAGTGCCATGTTCTCATTTCATTAATTGCAAGTGTTGAAGTTTCTTTTCCACACAAGCAAAATTCATGACCAGCTGATAAAAGTGAATGTTATTTTTACTGACTACAATGATGCAAAAACACAGTTCTTTGAAAGAGATTTGAAAGGTGTGCCCCTGTGCACTTGCAGATTCCAAGTACATTGTGCTGCAATGCAATCCATGCAAATGTAAAAATGCAAGTGTATATAGCACTAAAACTAGTTGATATGTAGCCACACAAGTAAAAAAAAATACTAGTTAGCGTTCAAAAAAAGGCCTTAAGACAACATAGTGGAGCCTTTAAACTAACGGACTTCTTATCCATCAAGCAAATGCATCACATTTGATTTTAACAAATTATATATAACTAATCAGCAGAACACTAACCAATTCTTGGAGTAGATGCAGCAGTTGGATTGCTCCAGTCACTCCAGATGCCTGCCTTCTTAGATCCATAGATCCCAAATGGGTTACACCGAACCTGAACAAAGTATACAGTCCCTGGTTTTAATCCAGCAAGACGACAGGAAGTCTGGTTACCCACATCATCTACCACCTAAAAGGAATAAATACAAAACAACCAATCAGTTTCAGTGTGTATTCAAATAAAGAAAAATAAATGCTATTATACTGTATATATACAGTCATGGCCCAGAATATTGGCAACCCTTCATTTCTGTCAGATAATGCACCACTTCACGCAGACAATTGTTGCAATTACAAATGTTTAGGCATTCTCATGTTTATTTATTTTGTTTGTATTGGTAAGACACAACAAAATGGAGGAAAAAAAGCCAAATCTGATACATTCCACGTAAAACGCCAAAAATGGACTGGACAACATTTTTGCCACCCTCAATTAATATTTGGTAGCACAGCCCTTGGAAAAAAATAACTGAAATCAATAGCTTCCTGTAACCATCAATGAGTTTCTTACACCTCTCTACAGGAATTTTGGACCACTCTTCTTTCGCCAGCTGCTCCAGGTCTCTCAGATTGGAAGGGTTCCTTTTCCCAACTGCTGTTTTGAGATCTCTCCACAGGTGCTCTATGGGATTCAGATCTGTACTCATTGCTGGCCAGTCCAGTACTCTCCAGTGGTTTGTCTGAAACCATTTCTGGGTGTTTTTTGACATGTGCTTTGGGTCATTGTACTGCTGTAAGACCCATGACCTCTGACAGAGACCCAACTTTCTGACACTGGGTAGTCTTGGTAGTCTTCAGATTTCATAATGCCAGGCACACAGTCAAGACATCCAGTGTGTGAAGCAGCAAAGCAACCTCAAAACATCAGTGAACCTCCACCATGTTTGACTGTAGGGACTGTATTTTTTTCGGCTTTATCAAAAAGCTGTAATTTTGTTTTGTCTGTCCACAGCACATTCTCCCAAAAGCATCTTGGCTTCCTCAGGTAAGTTTTGGCAAATTCCAATCTGGCTTTTTTATGTTTCTGTGTCAGCAGGGGGTCCTCCTGGCTCTCCTGCCATAGCGTCCTTTTTCATTCAGATGGCGACGTATAGTGTGAGCTGACACAGTTGTACCCTGTACCTGAAGGTCACCTTGAATATGTCTGGAAGTTGATTGAGGTTCTTTATCCACCATTTGAACAATCCTGAGATTGACCATGCTTTTCCACCATTTTTGTTCTCAAATCCTCAGACAATTCTTTGCTGCTCTTTCTTCTCTCCATGCTCCGTAGGGCACACAGAGACACACAACAGAAACCATACTGGTTGTGGTTAACTGGTTGTCGGTGTGATTTCTATGTTGTTAATTGATACAGGTGAGTTTAATTACAAATTACAGGAGCATAACAAACTTGGAATGCAATTATTTCTTGCAATTTGGAGAAGGTGCCAATCATTTTGGCTTTTTTGCTACAATTTTTTTGTGTCATTCCAATACAAACAAAAGAAATAAATATGAGAATGTCTAAACATTTGTAATTGCAACAACTGAATATATATACATGGTATACTGTATATATATCATAGGACTGCAAGGATCAAAAAGCCTTGCCATGAAAATATCAGCTCCAAATTCCCTTCAGCATACGGGGGGTGATATGCTAGATGGGTATCTTCCAGTGTTCAAGGGCGACAACAATTTGTCAAAAAGTTATACATTCAAAAAGTAAAAAGTAGAGTAGAATTGGTTATGTACAGTAGTTTTGCCTGGCAAATCAAATGAAATATATCTGGGTCTGGTCAATCAAACAATTGCTGACAAATGTACAAAGTAGGGCTGGTAATGATTAAAATTTTCGCGTTCGATTAATCGAATTTTTAAAAAATCGATTAATCGATTAATTTCGATTAATTATAACGCACATACAGATCCAACTACATTGGCCTATACACATACAGCACAGCAATGAAGTAATAAAATGAACTAGGATCACACTAATCCAGCACGTTATTAATCTCACGTGCCCCACTCAATATGGCCGTCGCTTGAGTGGGGCAACTCAGAAAAATAACGTGCTGGATTTGTGTGATCCTAGTTCATTTTATTACTTCATTGCTGTGCTGTATGTGTATAGGCCAATGCCTTGGCTGGTGCTCGTGCAGAAAGTTTCTTGGGCAAACTCACCTGCCCAAGTGGCTCCGTTGGCTAACGAAGGGGGGAGGAGTCCAGTGACGTCACGGACATCTACGTCACCGGACTCCTTCCCTTCGTTAGCCGGCACGGACATCTACGTCACCGGACTCCTCCCCCCTTCCCTTCGTTAGCCAACGGAGCCACTTGGGGAAGGGGGGGAGTCCAGTGACGTCGATGTCCGTGACGTCACTGGATCGCCGACGGGACTCCCGGAAGCCAGCGGAGAGTTGAGTGTTTTCATTAGCGATCAAAAATATTTTAATTGATCAAAAAGTTTACCGATTAATCGAGAAATTAATCTTTACTTTCCCCAGCCCTAGTACAAAGGTATCCACACATTCTCCTGTCCAGTTGTTAGACTTACAACACCTAGTATGTAATACCAACTACGTATTTAGCAGATTGAGTAATTTGGCAATGGGATCACCATTACATCTGCCATGCCAAATAATATTAACACTTGCCGCTTCTCATGGAGGATCTCCTAATTTATATGTGTTACCTTTAGAAAATATTTGTAGCATTTAAGAAGAAATAGAAATTAGGGTGTTAAGTATAATATCATCATTTATATTGGGAGCCATAATTCAGCCCAGCCATTTGCTTTTTATGAATATTTTTAACTTATTAGGGAGCAAGAGGAAAATGTTGCTGGATGTAAATGTTGACTACAATCAAATTATGCAGGTAGATAACTTTGCTCAGTCTTAATTTTCTCCTAATAAATATAACATTATAACATTTGTCAAAAAAAGAGTTAAAATGCTTCTTCCACCCTGTACCTGCAGCCCTCTGTAGATATTTTCCAGTCATATACAAGACAAGTAATAGATCTTTACAGTACCAGCAGATTACAGCAGTATCAACTACAGTATGTTTTCTCCTTGCTTTCAAAGCATTAGAGACCAAAGCTATGCAGGGAGCACCATATACATGACAGATCTTTTAAACAGTTCGTGATGTAGAAATATTAGGTCAATGCTGGGGCATGTCAAGTTTTAAACACACAAACGTGATCAGGGGGATCACTATTATGCGACCAGCAGGGAAAATCAGAGTTAGGCTTGGCTCCAGGAAGAGAGAGTAGGGAATCAGCTGTGGACAGAGACACACCATGCGAGAAAGCTGGTATATCTGTAATGCTTTGAATGCAACAAGAGTGTGCTCACTGCTAAAATTTGCTCTAAGGTACCCGAGGCTTGTATTGATTAGAAAAAAACAGTCAATAAAAGGCTGAAATAGTGAAATTAAAGTTACACTAAACTCAAGAGTTACATCTTAAAAATAAATTTAAGTACCTGAAGTATTAACAAAAATGTATCTTACGTGTGCATCACTCAGCTGTAGATCCTCAAGTCATCTCTGAATTGTTGGTGACACTGTCCTTCCTTCTGGGGGTGGCTACTTTTGTTCTTTATGGTCCCTGTGTTTGTTGTAAAGTGGCCGTGATGGACTACAATCTCAATACAAATCAGTAATCTAAACATGAGATTGTAGTCCATCATGGGAGCGAGCTTGGAGTGATGGCCACTTTAGAACACACACAGGGATCATGGAGAACAAAAGTATCCACCCTCCAGAAGGAAGGACATTGTCAGCATGAATTCAGAGAGGATTTGAGGCTCTACAGCCGAGTGATGCACAAATAAGGTAAATGTTTGTTAATAGGGTACTTGAATGCATTTTTAAGATTTAACTCTTGAGTTTAGTGTCACTTTAAGGGAAAACTCATGTGAGTATTGTATAATAATAAACAAAAAAAGCGCCAAATGGGACTGCTCCACCAGGGTTAAAAAACACAAAAGTTTTGTAAAAGAGTGCAGAGACTGATTGAAAAAAAGTGATGTGGTGTGAGATCTGCAGGACGCTGCCCCAAACCAGCCAGGGGGACTGCAAAATCTGTGGAAAAACACAAACAGGGGCACTTTCCTGGTGCAGACAAATTTATTTCAGATAAAAGCAATAATAGATGTGAATCATACTCACAAAGGTCGACATGAATGAAGCATTGTGTGTGAATACATGGACCAAAGTAAAAGCCAGTGACAGCTGCACAGCCGAGCCTGTGTACCAGCAGGGTAGGTTGTGATGACGCGTTTCCTGGGTCACGCCCCCTTCAGACGATCTGATGAAGGGGCGTGACCCCGATCAGATGAAGGGGGTGTGACCCCGGGAAACACGTCATCACAGCCTACCATGCTGGTACACAGGCTCGGCTGTGCAGCTGTCACTGGCTTTTACTTTGGTCCATGTATTCACACACAATGCTTTATTCATATCGACCTCTGTGAGTATGATTCACATCTATTATTGCTTTTATCTGAAATAAATTTGTCTGCACCAGGGTTTAGCGCGGAAAGTCCCTCCTGTTTGTGTTTTTTCCTCATGTGAATATTGGATCGCTGACAGGGATCCCATAACCTATATACATTATAAATGTAAAATCGCATAACTCATACAAACATATGGTTTGTAGCCACACAGCAAGCTCTTCTTACCTTCCATTCAGAACTGTCTTCTACTCTGTATCGAATCTGGTATTTAGCTTGAAACAGAAAGTCCTTCAAAGCAGGAGGGGAATTCCATCGAACACTGAGTTGATCCTCCAAGTCACCGACTCTACTCACATGAACATCTGATGGTGGGTCTGTGGTGACTGCGTAAATATGTCAAACTTGGTTAGAATTCTGACTGTAACAGTTGCCAATGTACTCCAGATGGCAAATGTATAAAGCATTTACATTTATTGCAAAAAAAAAGTAAAATACAAATTCTAAAAAAAAACATTTATCTTAATTTTTAGAACTGTGTTATTAGCATTTGTGAATTCTGTATTTATTATGAAGGCAGAAGATATAGATTGGTTAACTTATGTTTATACCCTATGTTTCCCTTTTGCTTATTAGTTTTTAATATGCCCCCTCCATGAAGTGCCATATCAAAAGTATTTTCCATAGTCATAGAGTGCTGCTTATATCATCAACAAAATTCTGTTGATTCAGCGGTTCGTCCAAATCCAAAATAACAAATTATTATATGCACGAATATATGAAAAACTATATTCAGTAGAGGTGCACCAAAATGGAAATGTCAAAACCGAGTATCGATGAATGTTTGTACCCGCTCTCAACTCAAGGAGGCTGAGTGAGCGGTGCAGGGAGGAGAGCTCAGCCTCCTGTGACGGGCTGTCTCCGCCCACACATCGCTCTACCGAACTGTGATAGGAGGCTGAGCGGTCTGGGAGGAGAGACGGCGGCCGCTCACAGTGCTCTACTCCCGCATCGCTCAGCCGGCTGTCACACTTTCTCTCCTCCCCGCTGGGACACAGAGCAGCGCCCAGCGGGGAGGAGAGAAAACAGGGATGTATCGGCAGGAAAATTGCAGTTTCGGCATTTAGCCAAAAGTGCAATTTTCAGCCGATATGTTTTGGTGGCCAATATATCGGTGCATCCCTAATATTCAGGCATATGTTAATTCATTTACAGAATGTGCAGCAGCAATATTTGTCCCGCAGTACATTCTGCTTATGCGAGCTGCCATCTTGGAGGCGGAGTGCTTGACGTCACATGTTGGGTGACATCATACGCATGTATGGGTGTCGCCATCTTGGATACACATCTTGGATGTTTAAATGTGCAATTTTGGATTCGGAGGTTTGTTTCCTCCGAATCCAAAACAGCATAATTATTTGTTTCATCAAATGATATGAATGAAAAAAAGAATTTCATTCATTTCATCCAAAACAAATTTTTATGCTGCGCACATGTCTACCAGGCCCCTGCCCTTTTTTGATGATCTTATCCCTAAAGTGATTGTGGATCTATATACTGTACTGCAAAGAAAGCCTGTTTCCTAAAAATATATAGAATGCATATCTTCATCAACATCATCCAGTGGCCATCTGACAGTATATGTTAGATGGGATAAATTAGGCAAACATGTGCTTCTCTCCAAACATGGCACCCTTTCTAACCTAACTACATATACGTAGAAAGGTGTGCAGGTGAAAATGTGAGAATAGGGGAGAACGGCAGCGAGTGCTTTGGCTCAGCCGATCCAGATGTCAAAGTCCCTCTGCACTTTGGCTCAGCCGTACATGCAGAACATGTTCGGTTGACCAAAGGCAGCCGATGTACTGAAATCAGCCATACTGAGCCGGAGTGAATAGCCGAACTTTGTTTGGCTCACTTCAGCTGGGTTATTTACTCAGCTTCCTTCGGCAGCTTTGTGAATAACCCCCTGAATATAAACAAATCTCCAGGTGGGTTTGATCCCTGTGTGCCCAGGGAACTCAGCCAGGTCATAGCCAGACCACTGTTCATAATCTTTAGGGACACATTAAAGTCAGGTATGGTACACTAGTTGATTGGCGAAAAGCAAATGTGCTATATACAAAAAGGGAGGCCGGGTAACTATAGGCCAGTCAGCTTAAGATCAATAGTGTGTAAAATATTTGAAGAAATAAAAAGGGACTATATACAGGAATTTGCCTATGAAAATGGTATCATAAGTAGCAAACAACATGGCTTCATGAAGAACCGTTCATGTCAGACCAATCTATTAAAATTCTATGAGGAAGTCAGTATTAATTTAGACAGGAATACCAGTAGACATGGTGTATCTTGCTAAAGTATTTGATACAGCCCCCCACAAGCTTTTATTCATAAACTAAGGTCTATGGGTGGATCCTTCAGCGTAATAATGCATAACCCTCTTTGTTTTTGCATTGATGCCCTTTGTTTTGCAACCCCTGGCCTATTAGCCATAAAAATAAAGATAATTAATTTTCAAGATTCACCCCACCATATACTTCAATAGCGTTGGATTTAAATTAGCAATTTTTTAGACTTTATGATGGGGTTTTTTTCAGCTAAAACTGATAATTTGTTACCTAATCGGGCAATCCAAGAATTTTTCTTAGATATTTACTTAGACATATGGTTGCTTATTTTAGAACTGTATATTTATTTAAATTTCAGTATACAATTTCCTTTAACATACATGTAACACACAGGATATATGCTTTCCCTAATCTTTGCAAGTGGCAGGGCAAATGCAACAAAGTTTTTTTTTTATCTGTGTTATATGAAGATTAAAAAAATAAGATCCCAATAAACAGTTCAGCAAAAGCTAAATAACATATATTTAGACAAGGAAAGTCTTTTTTCAAAGATGGAGTGGTTTTGTTGGATTTTTTTTGTACTGCAGCAAATTAGACTTGAACTAGACTAGACTAGACTTGACTAGACTTGAATTAGACTTGAAAACATATTAGAAAAGGCCTAACACTAAAAGAAAATTAGCCCTTATCCACACTGAGCATTTTGTAGCTTTTTTTCTGCCCGAAAAAAACAAAAAAAAAGCCCCCAAAAATTACCATTGACCATGTTCACATCTGAGAGTTTTGTCCCTTGTAGCAAAATGCCCATTGCTGGAAAAAAAGTACATGAACTTCCTTTTGGCAGATTATGTACTTCTTGGCCCCACAGCCTTCAATTGAAATGCATTGCACGTGTTTCCTGCACGTTTGCACATTTACATCAATGTGTCACAATCTGCCAATCTGCTTGCAAAGACTAGCAACTTAATGCATGCACGTTTACGTGCAAAAATGTGCTACACAAAACACGCTGAAAATGTGCATATTTGATGTCGATCAGGTGTGAATGAGGGCTGAATGTACACATTTGTTTTCTTTGGCCATGCTAGTGTCATTATAATCAGGATAAGTAGGAGAAAATATTTCAGTGATAATAATTAGTATTCAAAATATGTTGCATTTAACAAGTAAAATCTGGGTTTCCCTTTTTTTCTACTTTCAATAAAATATATATTAGAATTAAAAAAAAAAACAACAATGTATGTCATAGGTCCTGAAAATATATTTGATATGCAAAGCTACTAAAAAATAGTGTTGAGAAATCTGACATTTGCTGAAACTGCAACATTTGCACCGGTTATATGGGTTTAAGTTCCCAAATAAGTCTTGGGACCGAGAAATACAGTACCAGATTTTTTTTGGTACTTATTACTCAGAATTAGACAGCATTTTGAATACATTTTAAGATGAAAGTTTTGTCCTAATTTTACTTTTAAAATGTATTTTTTTTAAATCAGTATGAAGGTATTTGTTTTTTGCTCCTTTTTAACAGAGTCCAGCAAATGAAGGGGATTTTCTGGCTTAACTTTCATCATAAAACAAGATATCATATAATTTAGTAAGCTTTAAAACAGTTTAACATTCTTCAGTTCCAAGCATGCTATCTACTCATCAAAGACCTTTAATCAAAATAGAAGCTGTTTTTTTCAGTAATCAGCAATTATATGAGAATGATGCCAGCACATTGGACAGAATTTAAAATTACTAACCTTTATTCTGTATTTACATCACATCAGAGTTAACATTGTGCTATAATTAAAGTAGCATAGCAGCTGAAATGCATTGGTTATTTCTCCAAAGTGATGTAAATAAAGGGGTATTTCATTTTTAATTCTCTCTATCTTGCTGATCTTCTATTCTTATGCACTGATAACTTTTGGAGTGAGCAGATCAGGTGCTCAGGTACTCACCTGTCATTCACAGTAGTAAGTGGGCTGTCTTTTGCTTTTTATATGATAAGCAATTACCTTACCTACAGCAACCAACAATATGTTTCTTATCAATAGCTTAGAGCACTCGTAACACTGAAAGGTAACTGCTGGCGGGCTGTTTTGGGTTCTCCATTGCGCTTTTTAATTTTAGCGAAATTTAAATAATTATACTAATTAAATGTAAGATTTGCATAGTCAAACAAGTGGAATTATATAAACATTAATAACTGAAAATAAATAAAATATGCAAGTTGAACCATTATTACTTGAACACTACAAGTAGTCACAATTAGTTATAATCAGCACACTCACAACAGTAGCTGTAAAATTATACACAGAAGCAAATATAAAATCAGCAATTTAAGCCATTGGACAAACATTCTTTCAGCAGTTATTGGGTTTTTATATACAAAAATATACAGCTTGCTGAAATTATTACATTGTATTAACACAAAGAGATTTTTTTTTTAAAAGCTCATTAGAATGCTAATTAGTTCCACAGATCATAGAGAAGGCTCTAATGTATCTTACCCACATCAAGAATGTCCAGGGTTATTATGTCAGAGGTGATAGATCCTAGTCTGTTTGAAGCCTCCACCCAAATTTCATACGGAGTGAAGAGGGCAAGATCCTTAGGGATGTGGCAAGAATATTGACCCATGGTGTGATATTCTTGACATGTATTATCTCTGCCATACCACCTGGAAAATATACAAATGTGCTGCATTCATTTGAGAAAAATTAACCAGTTCTCATAATTGGACTTAAAAGTCTGAGGTTGGAACACTGACATGCTTCTGTCAAGTGGCAGACATGTGCTCTAGTTACATGTTCTAATACATAGAAGTTGATTTACTAAAGGCAAATAGGCTGGAGAACTTCCCCTGCAAAGTGCAAATTCCTGGCAGTCAACAGTCTTATTTACATTTAGTAAATCAACCACATAATTCCACAATTGCTATAATATAAAACTTAATTTCAAATGTACAGTGTTTCTGATGTAAGTCTCGCTTATATATATTCATTAGAAATATGTTTTGTTTTAGTTCTTCTTATAATAAGATGGTAATCTCACTGATTGTCTATTATTACAAAAACACTACTATCTCCAGTATATAAAAGGAAATGCAAAATAAAAATTATATGTATTGGTCTGAATTTGAGTAGAAACAAAAGTCATGCTAGAGCTGGCAACCCATACAAATGTCAAATTTGTCAGTTTAATTTAATTATTTGCATATCTTTAGGTATGTTGTCCATGTGGCAATGATGGGTCTGCCACTAGCATCATTGTGGCGTGTGGTCACAGGGGGGCACCATAAAACTTGTAAACAATTTTCTTATATTTTCTCACTGGCACAGTACCTGAGTTTGTATTTCAGGGTATAGTTGGTGTGTAGGTAGGTTTCTCCTTCACTACCTGGAACCCACTTGCAGGTCAGGTCTTTCATATTCTTCGACCAACAGGTAATATTGGTAGGTTTTTCAGGAGGCACTGTGTCACAAAATAAGAAAAAGCCATGTTAGAAATAGAATTGTGTATCACCCGAAAGAAAATGTTTTCATGTGGGACTGTACAATAAGTTGTAGAGTAACTAACAGAGAGAGATGGGAGAATGATTTGAACTTTGCTCTGACATTGAGGGGCTTGAATGGATCCTTTGATCCCTTTCACAATTTGTGTATTGTTTCCCACTTATGGTTTTGTGGAGTTCAAAATGGTTTTAAATGGCCACATAAGAAATAACATTCTCTACTGAGTTTCCACAGATGATATCCACTTTACTTTACTTTCCAATTTACCTGGAAATACATATAGGTCTCCAGATGAAAACAGTGTAGGAGACAAGTGTGTTTTGATCAGGCTTTTGTAATACAATTGTTTGATCAGTAATATCAGCATCCTGGAGCAGGCAGAAAGAACTAACATTTTTACCTGAAATAAAAGTACATTTAACATAGCATGGTAAAGCCACATCAATGGAGCTCAACCATGGAAAGCTGAAAATGTTTTTGATAGTTTTGAGGAAAAAAAGGTTCTTACATATATGCAGTAACAATACAGAAATTTGGAATATAAGCATAAAGGCCAGGCAGTAGGCCCATGCATTTAGAAATAAGGAAATTAAAGATCCTAAAGGCAGGAAGAGGCAACATTAGATCACGAAAAATAGAACAAGAACAAGGTATAGCAAAACAATTGAACACTATCAACGTTTTCCTACGATGTAATGCTTTTCTTGTGGTCATTCAAGAAAACATGTACAGAAAGCAAATGCGTAAAAAAAAGTGACCCAGAAATCTGTTCTCCAGTATGCTTAGAGAAGTCACTAACGCAGCAAAATAAAGGGACTCACCCTTCATCCTATAGGCAGCAAATTATTATTTATGAATATTTAATAGACATGTATGTTACACTAAATAACACTAAACTCAATAGTTAAATCTTGCTTGTATCAGTGGCTACTTTACAACACACACAGGGACCATGGGGAACAAAAAGTAGCCACCTGTCAGGAAGCCCATACAAAGTGGATTGCGTCTGCGCGTGCGCATATCTACGACGTATTGTGGCGCCAAACGGGCTATTTAAGCTCAGCCCCTCCATATCTCCAGTGCTGAGTACTCTTCAGCTTTGTGCCTTGTATCCTGTGCCTGTTTCCTGTCGTGTTGTTTCTTGTTGCTGACCCCGGCTTGCTCCTGACTCTGCTGATCTTCCGGTATCCTGACCCTGGCTTGTCTGATGATTCTTCTGCTTCCTGCCTGTTCCTGTATTGCCTGCACGTTATCGAACACGGCCTGTGACCGACTACGAGTTTGTCTCTTGCTACACTACCTTCCTGCCTGCACGTTGCCAACCCGGTCTGCCTGACTTCGAGTATCTTCTGTCTGCCTCCCTGCTGTGTGTTTATACTGCATTATGCAGCAAAGTGGCTAACGAACTTCAACCTAGCACCCAAGTCTTCATTCCGGCACTCGTTCCCCGCTGTGCCCCAGAGTACCTGTATTCACTATCAGGCTTTCTGGGACCAGAGTTGCAAGAGAGAGGCCGCCCTCGTCATCTCAAGCTCCATCTGGTATGTGACAGTAGTACTCAGCCACCCGGAGCTTGAAAAGGCGGTTTTCTTTATCATGGAGGAACTTTGTCACCAAATTTCCGCCCTTACCCAAGCAGTCAAGGGCCTACAAGAAGGTTACTTTCAGCTGGAAGGACGCAGATGCCTGGAGGCTATGGCACACACTCCGGCGGCCGAAGCCGCTCCACCTCTCGGTAACTCACCTGTTGTCGAAGCACCAACCCCTGCAGTCTCAACTCCTGCACCCAAGTCTTCATTCCGGCACTCGTGAACCGCTGTGCCCCAGAGTACCTGTACTCACTATCAGGCTTTCTGGGACCAGAGTTGTAAGAGAGAGGTCGCCCTCATCATCTCAAGCTCCATCAGGTACGTGACACCACCCTCCAGAAGGAAGAACAGTGTCAGCATGAATTCAGAGATGATTTGAGGATCTACAGCTGAGTGATACACAAATGAGCTACAATTTTTAAAAGCTGAGGCACTTGAATGCATTTTTAAGATTTAACTCCTGAGTTTTGTGTCACTTTAAGATCACTCAGCCCACTAGTTTGTCATACATATCAAGAGAGTTAATTTACCAAAGGAATAAAGCATGTTAACTTTGCATAGTGTTTTTTTAATCTAAGTTAAAGGAAAAGTGAATTTTCCTTTAATTTAGTTAAAGAGAGGAAGCCCTGCTGACTTCTATGATCCAATCAGGTGCAAGCAAAAATCCTGCTTTTTTAAAATTTCCCATGATTGGGTATTCTTTGCAATGTGAATGTTCATCACATTCACTAAACTAAGTAAAAATTACATTGCAAACGTAAACATTTACTTTAAAAAGTGAACATGCTATACCCTTCTAGTAATTCACTTTACACTCCATAGATTTCATTAATTTGCATAGTGTTAGTGCAACATTAAATCACTGCCGAAGTTTTACACATGCCAGTAACTCAGCACAAGATTGGTTTTAAGATCATATGAAGCAATTATGGATATGGATGTTTTTTTCTCCTGACTAGTTTGCATTTAGTGAATATGCTAGTATAATATTGAAGTATTTATTTATTACTAGTATTTATATAGCGCTGACAATTTACGCAGCGCTTTACACAGTGCACATTCACATCAGTCCCTGCCCTCAAGGAGCTTACAATCTAAGGTCCCTATCACACATGTATACATATGAGGGACAATTTAGACAGGAGCCAATTAACCTTCCAGCATGTGGGAAACATTTTCAGTAGACAATCATTAAGTTTTGTAATTATTCTACAGGCAATTTAAAGTGTATGTAAACCGTAAAAGTCAACCTCTTGTTTTCTTTTTTTTTTTGGGGGGGGGGGTCTGTTAAATATACAATTGAAAGCATTTTGTTATATCTATTTAAGTGCCAAAAAAGAAAAATACGTGTTAAACAGTATTATAAGCCTAGCTCAGGTTACTTCTGTAAACTACAGAATTTGTTACTCTATGGAGAGGGGGGAGTGTTCTGTTGTCCTAAGATCCTTTTTGTCCTAGCGTGACAACTCCATAGGGAAGGTACTCTGAGTGAACATTTTCCCTCTAGGACAGAAAGTGCCTAACCACAATCCCCAGGTAATGTTAAAAGAGAAAAAAAAGCCTTAAAAAACAAATGCAGCCAACAAATTCAAGGATTGGTATGCTGTAATGTATTCATTTTTTGTTCTTTAAGATTACACTTTAAGATTAATATTACATTTTACATTTATCTATGCAGCCAACCGTGGCCAAGAACAGTAACATTGTGCTGGATTTCGAGTAAAAGGTGAAGGAGTGAATCCATTGGCATATACTAAAAATAAGAGATGTTTTTATACAGATAACGTTTCTAGTATAGTAATAAGAACTGCAAAGACAACTAGAACTATAAAATAAAAAAAGAACACTCATACTGAGATTTTGTTGAAGTCAGCTAAATTGGCTGTGTGCAGAAATGGATTAAATACTGACAGCAATTTGCTCTATAACTTTCCACCCATATAGCTCACAGAAATGTTAAAGAAAGTATACTGACAAGCACTGAAAAGCAAATACTTGCCGGAAAATCAATCTAGGTAACAATGTTGTTTTAAGTAAGCCCTTATTTCTAAAATAAAATAAAGCACAACTGACACATTCCTCTAAAAGAAAATATTCTATCATATTACGTATACATATGCAATGAAAGTTTTTCTTGTATCCTGGGGTTTAAAAAAAATAAGTTTTAATCCCTCATCATAGCATTCTGACATAATGGTATTCTTGCATACTACCTTGTTTGATCCATGTGGATAAAAGGAGCTAGGCAAAGCAAATGGGATTTCCCACTGCTCCATGTCCTCATAGCAGAGTTCAGTATACTTTATGTGCACATCCAAATTGTATCAGTTAAGGAAACCATAAACATCATCAATAAATGCTATCATCATTAAATGCTATCATCATTATTCACCCAATGTTAAAGCAGAAGACAGTGATAAATCAAAACTGCTTCATTTGTAAATGAAACAATGCTCTTTTGAACTCCTCCTATTTAATACTTCTCCCATATTTTTGTTGCAGAGAAACAATGGGGGCTGATTTAATAAAGATATAAGTTTCATGCTAGACTGTACTCATTGCAAATACGCTATCGCCATGTCAGGTAATTAAAATTATATATTTATAATAGTTATAATTAAAAAGTAAAATATTTTTCACCCAAACTTGAAGGGAAGTAAACCTAGGCTAGGCTTTCTTATAGTAAATTACAGCTCCTACTTCCACTTTGTTATAGATGTTGAAATCTGACAATACATGCTATAATAATTTAACAGTCCAGTGTTTGTATATTTATTAACAGCTGGAGACAAGTTATGTAATGCTCGAGAACAGAAACAGCAGGAGGATTTTGATGTAATTAAAACCAAAAACACTGTGGGCCATCTTCTTAAAATTTGCCAAGCTAGACATATATGCATCCCTTAGCTAAAATGACTAGCCTACATGGTCATCATCATTCATCTGCCAGGATGGATTGTTCTTTACCTTATACTAATAATTAGGGATGCACAGATACTTTTCGAGTACCAGTGCAGATACTTGGCATTTTCATGAGAACTATCAGGGTTGCAGCGGTTGCAGCTGGGACCTGGCTTAGGCACTCCACCACTGTCCTGAAATCATTAGTCAATATTGTTTTAGAAAACCTGTCACATGACAATAAACAAAAATGTATCAGTACTCGTACTTGTAAGTACTCGGCAAGTACCAGTACTCGTACTCGCAAAACTGGTATCTGTGCATCCCTTTATTTATATTTATAAAAACAAAATCATACATTAAAACAGAGATGTAGAAATCTCAGGAGCTCTGTCTGCTCCTTACAAATGACAGCTGCCTCCTAATTTTTTAATTTTTCTCTAGTCTAGTCTTGGAGCTCAAAAGTATC